AGCATGGACGGCTTCAAAAAGGAATTAGATAAGCATATGGAGCAGAGGTCCATCAGTGGTTATTAGCCATAAGGTATAGATGCTCTGTCTTCTTGGTGCTTGGGGGGGTCAACAGTGGGAGGGCTTCTAATGTCCTGGCCCCACTGGTGGACCTCCTGATGGCATTGGTATCTCTGGCCACTGTGTGACACAGAGTGTTGGACTGGATGGGCCTTTGGCCTGATCCAACATTGGAATCTCTTATGTTCTTATGACAGCTTCAAGAGGGAATTAGATAAGCATGTGGAGCAGAAGTCCATCAGTGGCTATTAGCCATAAGGTATAGACAGGAACTCTCAGTCTGGGGCAAGTGATGCTCTGTATTCTTGGTGCTTGGGGGGGTGGGGAACAGTGGGAGGGCTTCTGGTGTCCTGGTCCCACTGCTGGACCTCCTGATGGCACCTGATATTTTTGGCCACTGTGACAGAGTGTTGGAGTGGATGGGCCGTTGGCCTGATCCAACATTGGCTTCTATTATGTTCTTATAGGATGCTGAACTAGACAGACCCTCCTTATATTTCTCTGTGTGTTGAGTGAATCAGTATGATTTTATAGATCCCTGTGCTCACATAAGAGGTAAGCTTAGCTTTACTGATAAAAAGATAGCATTGCTATTACAGTGGAGAGTTTTGTCTGTTTTCTTTTAATTTAAAAAAGCAGACATCACCAAATAGTGGAGTCAGCAGCCTTGTGGGGGGGGAGCGTCAAGAGAATTGTAGGTCATTTAAAATTCACAAAATGACATGGGCACAGCTGACAACCTCATTAAAACAAAATTCATTTTTATTAAAGTTTACATTTTTTCACAAACAATTACAAAGCTAATAATGAAGAAAGCAGGCAAAAAGGAGAAAATTAGAAGAAAAATGATAAAGAATACAAAGTAATTGTAGAAAAATGCAAAAATCAAAGTAATCACAGCTGACAAAAAGTATAGCTACCTTCTTAATTTGAGTAATTAGTTTTATAATGGTTATAAACTGAGCATCAAAATACACACTGCTAATATCTGGTATGGGGCTGTCTGTGTCTGCAAACTGGATTTGTCTGTCTCTTTTTTTCTTGAAAAAGTTGCTTGCTATATGCGGCTTGTTTGCTATGTTAACTTTATTGTGTGGAAACAATAAAAATCTTAATTTAAAAATGGAATTAGACAAATTCATGGAGGAGATGCCCTCAAAATAGTATGGGGACACCACCGGATTCTTTCTTCCTGGGGTTTGCCTGTCTGCTGTCTGTGCATTTGCTTGGGCTTCCAACTACTCTTTCTTAGATCCTGTTTAAGATGCCAAAAGTGATGCAGCCAGTATAAGCCACAGCGCATTTGTGTAGTGATATGAGTTGATGAGGGACTTATGTAAGGCCCAACTACATGCTACAGTCATCTCCAGATCAGCTGTGAGGATTTTCAGTCTGATGCTGCTTTGAAAGTTCCCTTCTGGGAATGTGGCTCCAAGGCATATCAGGCCCAGTTCAAGTTGGGTCCATAGCTGGGGGCTTAAGTGCACCCCCTGCATCTTGTTCTCAACTGGAAATGGCTCCAGAGAGCTGCTATTTGCTTCATCAGGGACTGCTTATGCACTGGTGGTGTAGATGCGTAGTCCCCAATGGAGCCAGTAGTGGTTCCCTGGGGTCATTTCTCATCAGAGAAACAGTATGGGGTTGAATTTAAGCCTCTTTCCCCTCCCTTTCTGTAGTCCTGATATGAATCGAGTCCCATGGGGTTTGGAGTTGCATTCCCAGTGGCAACTCACAAAAGAGCATCTGACTAAAAATCTTTGTCACTGACCCAGAGACAACATAATGTGAAGCTTGGCCTTCAATGGGGAACTCAGTTCAAGATGACAGGATTTGTTGTACTAAAGGTAAAGGTTTCCCTTGCTCGAAAGCCAGTCGAATCCGACTCTAGGGTTGCGGTGCTCATCTCCGTTTCAAAGCCGAAGAAGCCAGCGCTGTCCAAAGACGTTTCAGTGGTCATGTGGCCGGCATGACTAAACACCAAGGCACACGGAACGCTGTTACCTTACCACCGAAGTGGTACCTATTTATCTACTTGCAATTTCTTGCTTTCGAACTGCTAGGTTGGCAGGAGCTGGAACTAGAGACAGAAGCTCACTCCGTCATGCGGCACCCAGGTCTCGAACTGCTGAACTCCTGACCTTCCACAGCCTGCAGTTCAGAGTCTTAACCACTTGAGCCACCGCAGCTCCCCATTAATCACTGAAAGGTCCTGATTCATGAGTCCAATAGAGGCCAAGATTTGGTTTCTCTCTGGAGCCGCTATTGTCCTCTCAGCAAGTTAAGATTGAGTGGGATCCTGTTTCTCTGTTGGCATTTGGCCCTTGTCTTGAAAATATTCAGAAATTTGTTTTTGGGGGAAGATCATCTGTGTCACTGGTGAAGAGGAGATGGGTAGGGAGAACAAAACATGTCATAATGGTGGGTTGATGGAAACAAGCCTGAAAATTGGTCTTAAGCCCATGGTCCTCAAGGTGGTGCCCACCAACACCTCTCCTGGCACCCGCCAAGTGATTTTAGAAAGTGCACCAGGTGGGGCTTTTGCCTAGCAGGGTTTCTGATTGCCTATGCAGATTTTGTAAAAGTTGCTTCTGGCAGCAGCTGCCACCACATCACAAGGATCTTCATTGTGTGACTGAAGGTAAGCTGTGTGTATGCAAGAAGATATTTTTAAACAATATGTTCATTTTAAAAGGTGGCTGCCTGAAAGAGTTTCTATTAGAGTTATGCAAGGCCAGATAATGAAACTGAAGCTCAAATACTTTGGCCACCAAATGAGAAGGGAGCACTCACTGGAGAAGACCCTGATGCTGGGAAAGATCGAAGGTCAAAGAAGATGGGGACGGCAAAGGATGAGATGGTTAGACAGTGTCATAGATGCAATGAACATGAAGTTGAGCAAACTTCAGAGGATGGCGGAAGACCAGAAGGCCTGGCGTGATCTGGTCCATGGGGTCGCAAAGAGTCGGACTCGACTGTGCGACTGAACAACAATAACCTCACTCCTTGACATTTTGTGGTTAGCTCCGCCTCCTGACACAATTTTGTGATTGTACATACCACCCTGGGTCAGAATTCTAAAGGTGCCTGCAGGCTTGAAAAGGATGGTGACTCCTACCCTAGGCCACTATAAGAAACACTGAATTTTTTATTAAAGTCCCTGACCACTCTGTCACTGATTGCTCTAGACTGGTATTCAAAGGTGCACTACGTCTGAACATGGAGGTTTCATTTCGCTATCATGGCTATTAACCATAGCAACAGCTGATTAGCCCGACCTGAATCTGCTGCCCATTGGCTTCATTGGGTGCCCCTGACTTCTCCACACCAGGGGTATTGCATTTAAATGACTTTGCATGGAAAAATTTCCCAGGACATTATTCTCTACATGAACCAGTAAAAGGATGTGTTGCATATAGAGGAACAGAAAGCAAACAGAAATATATACTGTTATTTCACAAAAAACAGAAAGCAAACAGAAATATATACTGTTTTTTCATGGATTGGATAGGATAGATTGCATTTAGACATTCTTCCCAAAGCCCTGAAATGTACCAGGAAGCAAGAAACCAGTTCCAGAAGACTTTAAAAAGGGTTTTGTTTCTGGCAGGTAAAATCCTCCTACCACCCCCTCGCAACGTGATCCTTGTGTCAGAAGATTTCAATCTTTTCTTGACATGGCTGCCAGGGGCTGATTACCCACCTGGGGTGTTCTACACTGTTCAGTGGACGTGAGTATTGGCTGTATTTTCCATTTAATTTTTCCAGGACTCTGACACGAAAGGAGTTGGATAGAGACAATCCCATTCATAAATCTTCTCCCATATTTCTTCATTTGGGCTTGTATACTGCTTGATTCAATACTTATTTATTTACTTACTTCATTTAGACACTGCCTTCCCTCCCCCCAAAAGGCCCATAGTGGCTTGCATCATTCTCCTCTCCTCCAGTTTTCTCCTCACAACAGTCTTGTGAATTAGATTAAGTTGACAGTTGATTAAGTTGACAGTTGATGCAAGGTTACCCTGTGAGCTTCTATGGCAGAGTGGAGATTCAAACCTGGGTCTCCCAAATCCAAGTCTAATGTTCAAGCATGAAATCATACTGGCAATAGGAAAAACTGTCCTTTGGCTGATAATGCCTTTCCAATAGCAGTCATTGATCAGAAGATTAAGTCCACAATTCAAAGTCAAAACAGATAGGAGACTGACAGTCTTACTGGGCATTTCTATAGGTGTTCTTAAATATGTTTAGAATACATACATTTCATCAAGTAAGACCTTCAGCCCCATAACTCTAGTTGTGTGTTAAGGGATGCATATAGTTATAACAATCTTTCTCAGGGGACATCATCCTTGTTCAACATGTGTGTGCTGAGAACAGGAAGTGAATACCACCACAAAATGGCTCTCATGGGAGTCCCAGCCAAGCATCCTTCTACTATGAAAGCAGCTGTTTCTAAATGGGTGCTCCTCACAGACACAGAGCTGAGACCTCTTGGCTGTCCTGAAGCACCTTCCACTCCAGTCAGGTGGAGGAAAGTCAGGGTTATCTTTTTACTTTGGGAACTAGGTGCTTTGGGGAAGAAGTAAGCCATTGCCACAATATATCGTGCCCATGGGCACCATGTTAGGCATCACTGATCTATTGGTTGCATTTTTACCCTGCCTGTTACGTATTGATGGCACATTGTCCCTGACAAGGCAATTTTATTTGCACTCTTAGGACCTAAACTGGAAGGTACATATTTCCAGTATATACAACTACTTCTGACACAAGGCCAGATATATTTGTGGCTCAAAATAGGAACCTTTTGCTGTATCATTCAATTCCATATTGGAACATTCCAATTTTGGTCCTCTTTTCTTTATTGTTAACTAGGAATAAGGCCCGTTGTGGAAATAAATATGAGATCTAGAAAGAGGCTCTGGGAGAGTGCCCCGGCTTTGGGCCCACAGTGTGAATCTGCTGTGGCGAGTCGACCTCAGCAGGGTATAATGACAGAGTCCACCGTTTTCTCCAGAGGAACTGATCTCTGTTACCTGAAGAGCAATTGTATTTTTGAGTGATCTCCAGCCCTCACCTGGAGATTGGCAACGATTGTTACCCAGGACGAAATGGCTGGTTTGGAGGGTAGAGTATGGCATTGTACCTGTCTGAGACCCCACCCCTCCTCAAACCTCACCATCTCCAGGCTCCACCCCTCAAATCCCCAGGAATTTCCCAACCTGGAGTTGGCAACCCTATCTCCCTCCCAGCCAATTGTCAGCCTACCGCTATCTGCCCCCTGACTTCAGCTCTCCATCTCCTCCCCCCTCCCTCCTGGAGAGCAGTTGTAATTCTGATTGATCTCCAGCCCCCACCTGTAGATTGGCAATAATGCTTCCCCAGGATGGAATGGCTGGTTTGATGGGTGGAGTCTATGGCATTGTACCTGTCTGAGGTCCCACCCCTCCTCAAACCTCATCCTCTTCAGGCTCCATCCCTCAAATCTCCAGGAATTTCCCATCTGGAGTTGGCAATCCTATCAGGACTGGCCCCAATGAGTTTTCTCCCAAAGGCCAAAATAGGTGACAGGACCAAGCATGGTTGCCTACCAACAGGCACTGAGGGGAAAGTAGGGTTGCCAGCTCTAAGTATGGGAATACCTGGAGATTTGGGGGGGGAATCTGTGGAGGGCAGCATGGGGGGGGCGGAAGGACTCAGCAGGGTATAATGCCATAGTAGTGCCTTTCCTGGCACATTCACGTGCTCACAGACTCCCTCCTCCCAACCAGACTAAGAAGAGAAGAAGAAGAGAAGAGATTGGATTTATACCCCGCCCTTCAAACTCCTTTCCCTTCCCCTCCCCACAACAGACGCCCTGTGAGGTGGGTGGGGCTGAGAGAACTCTGAAACAAACTGCTCTTTCGGGAACAGCTGTGCCAGAGCTTGTGACTGACCCAAGGTCACATCAGCAGGTGCAAGTGGAGGAGTGGGGAATCAAACACGGTTCTCCCAGAATAGAGTCTGCACACTTAACCACTACACCAAACTGGCTCACACCTGGGCCATAATGTTCCTTTGATGCAGTGTTTCCCATTGGTAGTGCCTGTGGGTGTTATAGTACTTGCAGTTGGCCCTTGGCACCCACTGAGCTTTTCAGATAGTGTAAGGCAGGGCTTGTTACTGGCTGCCTTCACTGAAATGAACGGGTTTTCCACTGGAGGATCAAGAAGACTGGGAAGGCTGAGCTCTCCTTAATCAGTGTGTGCCTGCGCTTCCCCTTCAGGCTTTCCTTCATCCCAGGAGGTGTTAGGAGAGAGGTAATCAGTTCACCGCTTTCTTCTGCAGCAACCATTTTGGGGCGCACTCACCACCCCCTATCAAAATCCTACAGGTGCCTGCAGGCTCAAAAAGGTTGGGAATCCCTGTCTTGATCAATATACCTTCTTGGATTCTGTATTTCATGAAAGGGGCTAAGACAGGATTCTGGTTCCAATGAAACTTTCTCTGCTGCCATTTGTGGCTGAGCAGTCTGCAGATGTGTAGCCGCCACCTTGCACTTGTTTCTGAATTAACCCAGTGCTGTTTTCACTTCCTCTTCCAGTAATGTTTATCGCACCTGGGAGGACTTCCTGCCCTGTAGAAACATCTCGGAAACAGTCTGCAATATAACATGCGCTTCTCCACACGTGTACCACAGTTTTGATGTCCGAGTGAAAGCTCAGGGGAGTACTGGAACCATCTCCTCAGCATGGGTGGACTTGGAAAACATAGATTACGAAGTCAATGGTACGGTCAATAGCCTCTGGACCTTGGTTGGCAGGGCACGACGGAGAGGAGCTGGTGCTGTTAATGATACCAGTTGTTAGTTTGTGGGAGGTGAAGCTGTGTCCCAGAGAATGGGGAAAATCTACATGTGCTCAGAGGTACACACAGCCTAGAAGGCACAGGGAATGCCAAATCTGGAAGTTTCTGGGGCTTTGTACCAAATTTGAGCTAATTCTGCATAAAACGGGACCTAAAAAGGTTATTTTTCTATGGTCAGAAATGGACAATGTGGAGGATATGTTGCTCCCACAGAAAGCACCGGCCCTGTGTCTTTCCCAGATAATGTCTTCTCCAGGGGTCATTTCGTAGAAAAAGAGGTGCAGGATCTCATTAGCATAACTCATTAGCATAACTTATTTGCATATGCCACACCCCCTGACATCACCGGAAGTGTGTCAGAAGGCAACACCCACCGCTCAGGCTCCACTGGACTCTTTTGGATTGCTAGCTACTGGGGGGGGGGGGATGTGCAGATCTCTCCTTGCAGAGGAGGGAGAGCTTGTACCTGAATAAAACTTGGTCTTAAAGGTGCCACTGGACTGTTTTGGGCTGGGGGGGGGAGCTCTGCAGCTTACCTGGCTGCTTCTTGCTCTGACTGAGAGCTGCTGGGAGCAGGGGGTGGGGCTTGTTGCATGTGCCCGCCCCCTGGGCTCTTTACCGCCGGAGCTCTGCTCTTGTGCGCTCCTGCAGGAAATGACCCCTGGTCTTCTCAAAGAAAACCATATGATGTAACGCCACCAGACACACTTTCTCTACCACTGTCCTCTTTCATAATAGAACCAAGAGGGAGCCCTGACCTGGACAAGCCCAGGCTAGCCTAATCTCATCAGATCTCGGAAGGGTTTGCCTTGGTCAGTATTTGGATGGGAGACTCTCAAGGAAGCTCAGGATTGATACACAGAGGCTGGCAATGGCAAGCCACCCCTGAACATTTCTTGCCTTGAAAACCCCACAGGGTCACCATACGTTGGCTGTGATGTGATGACAAAAAAAAAAAAAATTGGGGGAGAAGAGGAGACACAAGGCTGCTGTTTTTTTTGTGGCAGCCCTGTGCATTCTCCCTGTTCTGTAGTTTTTTCCGAATAACCCGCAGCAAGCGAGAAAGAACCAGGAGGGGTACTGCAGATGTCTGAAATAGGTTTGACTTCTTGTGACGGCTGGTTGATTTTCTTCCTAAGTAGTGATAGTTAAGCGTGACGTCAAAAAGTGGGGGGAAGTCAAAATGGTGCAAACAACACAAAGCCCGAAAAATGCAAACTCCTAACAACAGGATCCTTTCAGAGACATTAAATGTCCAGTCTGTCCCAGGTATGAAACGTTTCCCTGAGGAAGAGCTAAAGCACAAAAAGTGACAGGATCCTTTTGTAAATTTTGCTTTGTGTGGCTACAGAGCACTGCAGCTTCATTGCATTCGCAGCGTGTTCCCCCAAAGGATTGGTATTACGGGGAGGAACCGTTAACTAGAAAAGGTGGAGAGGGGGAGTGATGGCAGCAAGTGGGTTTGTATAGAAACTGAATATTAGGGTTTTTTTTCCTCAGGAAATGTGCATGGTTCTATTTTCAGCCTGAAATTTAAAGCTGGCGGACATTTGGTACCGCCCAGAAATAAAACTTGATCAAAAAGAACTGAAGACAATGTAACAAAATGGGAAAGCTGTAATAGAGAGAGTGCAAAGATAGTAATGATGGAGGTAGAGAAGGTTCCTCTCCGATAACGTAAGCCCAACTTGGCAGCCTGTGGCTGTGCCAGAGAACAAGGGTGCAGACGGTCAGGCACCCCTTCTGGGGAAAAGGGCATCATGCCCATAGTTTGGCTTGGGCGGATCATGGGATGCCCAGAAAAGCCTATTCATGAGGATGCCTATCTATCTGCATGCACATTGGTCTGTATTCTTGGATACTTCCCTAATATCTGCTTTTATTTTCCAGTGACACTCGCTCCCCCAGCTCTGCAGGTAAGGAAGATCGGGGACACGGTTGTGGTGAATGCCACTTTCTCTGACCCCTTGTGCTTGAAGGACATATTTCATGATCTGACCTCTGACTTGGAATTTTGGGAAGCTGGAGCCAACAACAGAGTGAGTAGAAGAACCAGAGCTTTGTCATTTAAACCTACCAGAACATAGCAAGTCAAGCTTCCAGACCAGTTCACATAGTACAAAGTTTTCATGGCTGCCACAGCTACTTCCTATGTGGGGTGTGCTTGGAACTCATTTCCCAGTCATGTGTGTGCCATTTGGATTGGGGTCATGATGTGCTGAGAGAGAGAGATGCTTAAGCCTCCCTCTGCAACCATCCAGTTTTCCCAACCCAAAACAGCCCCAAGGAGCCACTGTTTGCACACAGGGCTGGCCCGAGGTTGTCCTGCGCTCTAGGTGAGCGCAGATGCCAACCTCCTGGAGGGGCCTGGAGATGCACTCTGGGCGTCCTGTCCCCGGGGCAGGTGGTGTATGAGTGTGGGGGGGTCTGGGTCTGCTAGTCCCCAGCCCTTTCCCCCCCCATGCCGCCAGGCAGGAAAGGCCGCGAAAGAAGGCGGCGGGGGGGGAGGAAAGCCGGCGGTGTGTCTGGGCATCCCCAGTCCTCCCGCCGCCGCCGGACAGGAGAGGCCGAGAAAGAAGGCGGGGGGGAGGAAAGCGGGCGGTGTGTGTGTGTGGGGGTCTGGGCATCCCCG